CCCTAAGCTTCTGCATGCAGGTCTAACCTGCTAATCAGGTGAGATTCCTTCTTTACAAAGCATTTAGATGATCTTGCTCTTTTCTTAATGACTAGAGTTGAGACTTACATTGCTTTGTTTGGAACTTTATTCATCTCATTTATCTAATTCCTTTATTATGATTATAAATTACTTAAGAAACATATTTACATGGGACTTTGGTGCAGTTTATATGGTGCAGGATGCCATCAAGTGCTAACGATAATATATTATGTGAAAGCCTTTTAATGGTTTTATTGATTATAACAACATTATCCCAATAGTATATAACAAATAATACAAGATTCTAGTGGTTAAAATTCTTATGTCTTTTGAAAATCTCTTTAGTAGCAAATAGTTAAGTATAGAATTCTAGATCCCAAGAAAAGAGATAGACAAAATAATTTAAGCTTAAAACTACTTATTGTTACAGCAGCAATTTTCAGTCAGGAAGCTTCGTACACAATAAAGCATTCAGGCTGCAGAATCTGGCAGACGTTGGGCAGCGCCTGTGGCTCACTGGGTAGGGCACTGGCCCCATATACCGAGGGTGGCGGGTTCAAACCCAGCCCTGGCCAAACTGCAACAAAAAAATAACCAGGCATTGTGGTAGGCGCCTGTAGTCCTAGCTACTCAGGAGGCTGAGGCAGAGAATCACCTAAGCCCAGGAGTTGGAGGTTGCTGTGAGCTGTAAGATGCCATGGGACTCTACTGAGGGCAATAAAGTGAGACTCTATCTCTACGGGGAAAAAAAAAAAAAAACGAATCCGGCAGACATGGGATTGACTCTACAGCTTACAGCTACATAACCTTAAACAGGTTACTCAGCTACTGTATTTCTTGCCTATCAGGGGAGATATAATAGTTCCTACTTTTTAGGAGTACCTGTAAACATTCAGTAAGATAATAATAGTAACAGCAGCAAACACTTCTACAGTCCTTGCCATGTATTAGACATTGATCTATGCACAATTTATTTTTAAACCTTAGATCCTCAGCCACCTTATGCAGTAGGTACTGTTCTATCTGGCATTAAATATTAGCAAATAAAACCAGCAAAAACTATAAAAAGTCATTGCATCTTTAACCAGATTCTAGCGACAATGAGTGCACTGAAAACGTTACCATTTTCATTGAAATTTATATTTTCTATCTTAAATTGTCTTTGAACATTTTAAATACCTTATCTATTTTCTTTTATCTTTGATTTCTTAGTATTTTATTTTTATTCAAACTCAAAAATCAAGACGTGCTGATCACCTGTGATTGTTAAGAATATGCCACTCTTCAGATAAACTATATTTAATTGTATTTTTAGCCACAGGTTAAGCAAAGAGAGATACAAAGATAGATTGGCAGCAAGTTGATGTAACTGATACTGCCATTTGGTGGTGGGGCATTTTCAAGTTACCTCCGCAGAGCCACGAAGCAAAAAGATAGATTCGAAAACACAATGAAATGTGCCCTTTACCTGAGTTTTAATAATTAATATAAGCACTTTGCACTTCTTTTTCTCTTAGCTAAATGCCTGTGAAGCAAGACTTTGGAAAATAATTGTTGGTCTTTTTTCATCTAAGCCAGAGGTTCTCAACCTGTGGGTCACGACCCACAGGAACTGTATTAAAGGCTCGTGGCATTAGGAAGGTTGAGAAGCACTCAGCCAGTAAAATGTATTCCTATTTTATGTCATATATCAAAACATGCTCTAGGAAAATTCACAAGATAGCTATGAAATATATACAATCTCTGTGTTTTAAATGCATGACTTCACAATCTTCCGTATCACAATGGAAGCTTATACTAAGGACAGGAAAAGTTTCACTACAGTCCTAGAAACTCTTTCAGCTGTGATCCACTCAATAGAATACCCTGTAGCTTTGGTTAAAAGAATTCAGTAAAGAATATAAAGCATGCAAGCAAGTATTGGAACCATAATGCATGCATGTCTTAAAGCCTGGTTTTCAGGAAGTTTTCAAGCCGCAAATAATCTGCATGTAAATGTGTAAACGTGCAATCTAAGCTAATAAAACTGATAATGATAATGCTAAACTACAGTATGATACCATTAAAGTAATAATCACACCAATATAAACCATGCCCACCTCCGTCTACCAAAGAAGCAGTAAATTAGCCTTCCTTCACAAACAGCAGAAATTTCATCTTCCATATACGTGATTTCTCCATGCCCAAGTATAGTATAGCCCAAGTATAGTTTCATCAAGCAGTGAAACAAACCGTACAGGATAGCCAGATCATTATGAAGTACGTAGTTGATTAATCCTCAGCAAACACTCTATTCTAATTTCAGCCTATAGTATATAAATGCCAACTTTAAATGACTTTTACAGGTAATTTAGTAGGTTACTAGTAAGGACCCCTTGAAAGTAACAATGACAGTTAATAGCATTGTGTGTCACTTGCTGGGAAGCTTCCCATTCCAGATAGTGTGTGTATGTTTGCATCTTATCAGTTAAAGGCCTATTAAGAAACTCATAGCCAGCTGGGAACCAGCCTTTGAGAATCTTTCCCCTACCCACACACACTCTGCGCATAGTTTGGCAGCAGTACGAGGAATTCCCCACTTTTCCATCTTGACACATTGACACATATTTTCCCTTTACAATATTAAAGGTATTTTTTCTTTATTATATTGATATAATAAACAGACCTCAGGTAATATTTGTGCAAACATTTAAAAAATGGAAGGCAGTTTAACAATACCTCCTTGATAAATTTTTCCTGTGAGTCTCTACTAATCTGTCTAATAAATGTATTAAGGAATGGCCAAAATTATACATATTTTTAAGAAAATTTATTGTGACATTGTTGCTTATGCTTACCACTGGAAACAAACTAAATTTTATCAATAGATGGTAGTTTAAATTATGTCTTTACAATGGAATTCTATGTAGCCATCTAGAGAAAAGTGAGGAAGTTTCTTATATACAGATGCTCCTTGACTTACAGTTGGGTTATATCCTTTGTGAGTTGAAAATACTGTAAGTTGAAAATGCTTGTACTATACCTAAGCTTCTGAACACAATACCTCAGCCTAGCCTACCTTAAACATGTTCAGAACACTTACATTAGCCGGTAGTTGAGCAAAATCATGTAACATTAAGCCCGACTTGTTATAAAATGTTGACTATATCATGTAATTTATTGGATACTATACTGAACATGAAAAAATAGTTTTGCACCTTGGTTAACAAAAAATCAGAAGGTGAACCATTGTAAATTGGAGCCTATCTGTACTGACACAGGAAGATTTCCAAGACATGTTGTATCCAGGCAAAAATCTCAGTGACAAAGCAGTATATGTGATCCCTTATGTGTATTTTTATATATACAAACACACATTTATACATAGGTGATACAAGATTTATATTAATTTTGCTGTTATTTTACCTTTACAGAATGGATTGAGGAAGGTAAAAAGGGGGTGCTTTTACCTATTTTACTTGTTTTGTATTATCTAAATTTAACATATATTAATTTTATAATAAAATAAGGAGAAACCCATTTGCTCTTTGGGAAAGGTCTGGAGAAACCAGACCTTTATATTTATATTTATGATACAACATATTAATGATACAACGAGACTTGTCATTTTTCTTCTGACATAAGATAATGAAATGCTCCTAATATGAGCACCGTGCTAATGCTGGTACTCTTAGAGAGAGGGTTCTTCCCAGAGTCTATAAAAGCAGTTCTGGAAGTTTTGGTTATTTGCTCTCACCTTTATATATCTATCCTTACTTTTGATTTTATTTCTTCCTCCATGTTCTCGGAGATGTATATGTGCGTTTGTGTTTATGTGGGGCCAGGGATATGTATATATGTCATTTAAACATTTAGGTGATTATCAAGAATGGTTGAAAAACTTTAGGAAGTAGTGGTAAAGGTAGCTGGTAGTGATGATGGCTTAAGCAAAGCTGTCCTTCTCTCCCTTCCTCTCAATCGTAGTAAGAATCACCCTGAAATTAGTTGAAAAGATATATTCCAGTGACCAAACCCAGTGAAGTACTAAATATTTATCCTACTAGAATGGCTATTATAAGGTTTCTGAAGGAAAACACTAATTATACTAGATTACTTGAGAGAATTTTATTCTTAGCTAATACTCGTGGCTCTGTGAACTATACAACTCATTCAAAATAGTTTCTTTAAATTGCTGGCATTAAATTTTATTGAAAGTCATTAAAAAATCATGGAAAGGGTGCCCAGTTGAAAACTTAACGAATGTCAGTCATTTTTTTCAGAATGGCAGACTTAGAAACATTAAATGATGTCTTAATTACATAGAAATTTGACCACACTGATTGGTTCTTTCTAAAGTGAGTTCAGGATTAATATGAAATATGTGGGTTTATTTATAATTTGAGAAATACCTTTCTTGTGGTAAATTTCATGATATAATGCTATTTATTAGGAAAGGTGGCCTTTCTTCTTAAATTGTAATGCTTTACAGATTTGAAGCCCTAATTATACATAAGCACCATTGTATACATTAAGCTCGTTGTGGTTGGAAAGGATGTTTACTGTAGTGTTTAAGAGCATACAATATGGAATCAGACTGTTGGGGTTCAAATCCTGGCCCTGCCACTTCTAAGCTGTGGGATCTTGGACAATTTACCCATCCTCCCTCTGCCTTGGTGTCCACATCTTTAAAACAAAGATATAAGTAGTATAACTCTATTTCATAGAGTTGTTATGAGATTGTTCTAATAATTTAATGAATTAATATTTATAAATCTCTCATACATATAGAGTGAGTATTCAAAGTATGGCTACTATTATTTGTCATTTGGCAATTTAATATCTAGTAAGTGCTGTGTGTGGGGGGTCAAATAAATGCATTGTTTACATTTTATGGTCTAAATCTGTTTTAAGTATTTTTTTTTACTTTTATTTTTCTGGGATTTAAAAACTGATTTTTATACTAGTTGGTTTTGATTATTTGTTTCTTGTTTGCATTACAGTTACAAATTATAATACTGTGGTAGAAACAAATTCAGACTCAGATGATGAAGACAAACTCCATATTGTGGAAGAAGAAAGTGTTACAGATGCAGCTGATTGTGAGGGAGGTGTGCCAGAAGATGATCTGCCAACAGACCAAACAGTGTTACCAGGGAGCAGCGAGAGAGAAGGGAATGCTAAGAATTGCTGGGAGGATGATGGTAAGTCTGAATTTTTTTAATAATATTGTATTATCTTGATTCTTTCTTAAAACTGTGTATTAGCTGAAAAGATAAATTAGATGAAAACTTTTAAATGAACAGTAAATAATTTTAATAATTATTGAATGTTCTAGCTACTAAAAAGTAGATGATAAAACAAGTTGATCATTTTTATAATGCATGTATTATATTGAATTTTAGTAGATTTTACTAACTAGTCTCAAGCTTTTCATATATTATTTATATAATTGGACCTACCTTTAATTTTCTATTGTGTCCTTAAATGAAGAATCTACTTAGAAATCAATAAATAGTATTTTGGTGTAGTAAAATTATAAATCAGTGTGCAAAAATCCCTAACACAGACTTTTAGTATTTTAGTGTTTGTAAGCCTCTCTATACATATGTCATTTTTACTAAAGTAAAATTTTTACTTTTATCTAAGTAAAGCATAGTTTAGTGGGAGAACCAGTAAAAGCAAGGAAGCCTTCTACCTACTGCCTTTTTAATGAGTAAACACCAAATGTTTAACCTTTTCCTTCATCTGTCAAGTGGAGAAATTGGATTTAGTCTTTTATTCTAGCTCTGAAATTCCTTCTTTCTACTTTTCCTAATAAACTAATTGTTTAGCCTGTCTTTGCCAGGTTAAGCACCAGTGGTATAAAAATAGGATATGGAGGTGGCAGGTATTATGAATTAGAGAGGTTAGAGATCAAGAGCAAGGGCATCAGCAAAGGCAAAGATCAGCATGCAGTAGCTCAAATCTGAAGCCAGTCACAGGAGAAGAGTCCCAACAGGAGTTCAAGTTCAAGGAGGTCATCTAGGCAGGATATCAAAACTAAGGCTAGGAATACGAGATAATGGGTTAGGCATGCAGGTTAGAGAATCAGGATAATGAAAGGTTGGAATATAGCTTAAAGATTAAATAATAGGCATAGTTTGGCATAAGTTAAAATTTCTACAGTATGACAAATCTTACATTTAAAAGGGGATTTTTAAAATCATGAAATTAGCCCTGTCCTTTCATAGTGTTGTTTATTTGTCCATTCAGTAAGCTCTGCAGGAATGGATAGCAAATGTGAGTAAGATTATCTCTGTGTGAACAGTGTTTACAGCTTAATGGGAGATAGAGATAAATAAGTCGCAAATACATTACAGTTGGATTTAGGTGTAAATTTAAAATTATGTGGCAACATCAAGGAGGAACATCCAAATCAGAGAGAGGAGAAGTTCTAGAAGACTTTCTTAGTAAATGTTGATGTTGGGTTCTAAAAGGCTGGTCAAGGTTAATTAGGCAAAGACAAGAGAATATAAAGTGTTTCAAGCAGACGAGGCAACATGCTTGAGGCCACCGAGGCTTGAGCAAACAGCATTCACAGAAAATGAGACCAAAGAAGTAAATGACAGAAAGAATATGAGGTGCTTTGTGACTAAGTCAAGGGACTTTGAACTTTATCCTGGAAACTATGAGAAGGACATTGATACGTAATTTATAAATAAGTCTGATGCAGTAAGGAAAAGTAATTTTATAGAGAGGAAGTCTAAAATAATGCCTTCACCAAGGAGGCTGTGATAATCAGGCAGTGGTAAGGGTTTTTGAACTAAAGTAGTGGACCATGGGATGTGGAAAGAAGAGAAATATTTGAAAGAATTCTAAGACATAGAATTTATAAGAATTGGTTAATTCTGTATAGAAAGTAACAGATGGTAGGATTGACAAGCTCCCAGGTTTCTAAAAAGTAGAACCCAGAGAGATTGACTTGCTTGTTTATCATGACAGCTGGTTGATAGTTGAGATATTAACCTGTTAACTTTAATACTCTGCTCAAAAATTGAAGCAAAACTTTCTTATATATTTCTTATCTGTGGCCTGAATTGACTCATCTGGTTAATATAGAGTCTTAATGTGGATGCAAGAAGGAAATTATTTACTTGGAAAAATGGGACATATGGAGAATGGGACATATAGATGAGAATGGAGAATGGGACATAAAGATCAAAGGTGTCTAACCTGCAGCCTGCAGGCTGTGTGCTGATTTCTTTTTTTCTTATCTGTGGTATTGGCTATCACAAAAAATATGCATGGACATTTTTTTCTTTGTTAATCAGCCTTCGTTTGTGTTTGTGTATTTACTGTATGGCTGAGAACAACTCTTCAGATGTTCAGCAGGAAAAAAGGTTGGACACCCTTGACATAAATGAAGTAAGAAAAATCAATGAAGAGATCCTGTTTCTGAAAATACATAGAGATAGATTATTTGGCCTAACCCCTTCACTGAGACCAACTAATGGTACTATATTAAAAACAAAACCAAAAAACTTCTTAACAGTTTTAAAGAGCTAGGTAGATAGTAATACATCAACATGATAAAATCAAAGTGAAGACAGGAACCCAAAAAGGTAAAAACAGCAAATCACAGAAGACTTTTTGCCTTGAAGCCAAACAAGGGAAATATAAGATGTGGTTTTCAGGCTTCTGGGAGGAAACAAAGCCCAACACCACCAGAATTTAATAGCAGACCTCCTCCTAGTGTGGATTACATCTTTACATAAGGATGAACTGAAAATAAACTATCTGCCATCCATAACACCCTCAGGAGTCAGCAAGCAAACTTGCCTTGTCTGGGTATTGGGGAAATGAAAGATCCTATCTGAGAAATAGCAACCACAAGCTATCTTGCACTGTTAAAACCCAAATTCACATTTCTTGGTATTGCTGGGTAGCCTGATAAGCCTCAAACCGTAAAGTAGGTTTAAAGTAAAGTTGCTATGAATATCCATAGGCACCAGGAAGAAGTAAAGTCAGGTCTTTTGGAGGAGTATATTTTTATACTAGCACTGTAACTCTCCCAAATAATTGGGCAAGAAAATAGAAATATAAATGTGACTTACCAGAAACAATTGGAACTTACTTGTTACATAAAACTTCTTGGACCGTAATTTGCTAAAAAATGCTAAAATTCCTTTATAGTACAAAAAATAAGTACCTAAATATAAACAAACGAAAATTTGAATTAAAATGAAACATTTTTTTCCCTAAAATTTCAGGCCGAAAACATAGTTGTGTGTTGTAAACAGGAGTACTTAATACATGGCAGAAGGCAGTAACCAATAGATTTTAAGGACCTAATGAAATACCAGATAATAAAAAAATTAGTAATAGGAATTCAAAATTCAGAAGGTGGGTTTGACAGCAAATTAAACAAAGTTAAAGAAAGAATTAGTGAATTAGATGATGGAGAAAATTGTACTAAGTGAAGCCCATAGAGACATACATAGAAAAATGTGAAAAACAAGTTAATAGACATGAAAGTTCAATGTATGCCTTAATTTTAGGGGAAGAGAGAACAGGACAGCAGCAGTACTTAAATAATAGCTGTGATCTTTTTTCAGAATTGATGAAGGAAGCACCATTTCTGGGCATGGTGGCTCACATCTGTAATCTCAATACTGTGGGAGGTCAAAGCAGAATTACTTGAGCCCAGGAGTTTGAGACCAGCCTGGTCAACATAGTGAGACATCTCATCTATACAAAAAAAATTAAAATTTAGCCTGGTGTGATGGTATACACCTGTAATCCTAGCTACTCAGGAGGCTGAGGGGCATGGATCACTTGAGCCTAGGAGATTTAGGCTATAGTGAGCTGATTGTGCCACTGCGTTCCAGCCTAGGTGACTGGTAAGATCCTTTCTTTAAAATACAAAAAAGGATTGATGAAGGACGCAAAATATAGACTCAAAAAGCCCAACAAATCTCAAGAAGGGTAAGATAGAAGAATGATGTGAACAAAGTTGGTTAGATAAAAGATTCTAGTCTCCACTTCCCCCACAGACCCACCAATTTTAGCAACCAGTCACACACAGAAAGGCCTCTGGGAGTCCCAGAGTCTTGTTGAGGGATTCTAGAACCCTCATGAAGCAAATAGTGCATTGGAAACGGAGGCACTGAAGATGGTTCAAAGAACAGTTTCACTTTACTCATGTCAGCCTTCCCCCAAGATGGCATAGCTCAGTTCCAAAAGAGGCCACATGGCCAACAATTTCTCCCATGGGGGAAAAATAAGAGTGGAGTGAGTATCTGCAGCTTTGTGGAGTACTTCCTAGAAGGCTCACGTTTGCCTTGTCTCACCCAGAAAACTGAGGGGAATCATGATGGTATAGCTAGGAGCAGGGAGACGAGGAAAAACCACATGGCAACCAATGCATGTTTCTCAGCAGCCAGCCATTGATCCTACTCCCTGGACTGAGGACTCCACCAGGAGACCCACAAATGAATCTCAAAGAACAATTCATCTGCATACTGACCCACCTGACCAGCACTTTCCTCCAGCACCTTAAACATTGCCATGTGCAGTATTCCATGTGTTCCTATATCTTCCTACTTGCAGACAGCACATGGATCTAAGCAGCAGAAATGGATCTTAGCGTCTAGTCATATCTTTTGATTTGGTAGATGGCCTACACCTTCCCTAGTGAAAATAAGTGGAAGGCCCTTAGCACCAAGCCTGGCTTTAGGGGGATAAAGAGAACACACAATCCTAAGACTTGCTGCCTCAGAGGAAACAAGAAGAGCAGAGCTGGTACATCTATACCAAAGTTCCAAGAGACTTTCAGAGTCTCCTCAGGCTCACTGGTGAAGGTCTTTTGCTATGGTTTGAATGTTTGTGTCCCTTTAAAAATTAATGTTGAAGCTTAACTCTCAATACAACAGTATTAAGAGGTGAGGCCTTAAGTCAGTGATTAAGTAATGAAGGTTCTATCCTCAAATGAGATTAGCACCTTCTTAAAGGGCTCAAGGAACTGAACAGCCTATTTTTGCCCATAATTCCTTTCACCATGTGAGGACAGTATTCATCTCCTCCTGAGGATACAGCTAGCTTCAAGGCACTATTTTGCAAGTAAAGAGTATGCTCTCACCAGACACTCAATATTCTAGAGACTTGATCTTAAGCTTTCAGCCATCATAATTATGAAAAACAAATTTAATTTTTAAATAACCCA